CGCGGGGCGACGTCTCTTCAAAACGAGGACCCAACACCACAGGATGGTTGGGGAAAAAACATCGTTTGCCATAATTTTGGAAACATTTTGGCCTCTCGGGGGGGTCCTTGGGAGACTCCGTGGCCACCTGGAGCAGTCTTGGAGGCACGTTGAAAGCTATCTTGAGCCATCCTCGGCTATCTTGTGCGATCTTGGAAGCCATCTTGGGTTATCTGGGGGCCCTTTCGGGGCCGTCTTGGTCTTTGGATGCTCTGACGCCTCGCGACTGGGCCTTCCAGGCCCAGAGAGAGGGGGCTCAAGGGGAAGAGCAAATCTAGAAGAACCCCTTAAACTACCTACACCCAAAGGGCTGGAGGGATTCTTTTTGGGGGCTTGTGAGGAGGGGATTCAAGACGGGTGGGCCTAATACAGCATCGTTGATGCATGTTGGGTTTACTCAGGTCCTCCCTCTCCTTCCTCCTCTTCATCCTTCTGCCCCCCCTCCTTCGGTGGCGGCCCTCGCGCGCATTGACTGCGCGGCCGCTCCCAGCCAGTGCCTTATCCTCCTCCCCCTCCTCCTCCTCCTCTTCCTCCTCCTCCTCCTCCTCCTCCTCCTCCTCCTCCTCCTCCCTCTGACTCCCTTCTCTCTTTCGCCCCGTCCCTGTGTCCCTCCGTGCGCTCGCCCGTCCCTCTTGCTCCTGCTGCCGCTCATCCCGCTCCCCCCTTGCCTCTCGAGAGAAACTCGAAGGCCACGCGCCATTCCCGCCACCCAAGCATCAAAGCCCCCCTCCAACCCCCCAAGCACGAGCCACCACATTGCAGATGCGAGAAATTCGAGATCCGCAGCCATCCTGGACCCCCCGGAGCGCCGTGCCCGGCCCTCGGGGGATGCCTCGTGCTTCCAGCGCCGCGCGCCCCCTCGCGGGGCCTCGGGCAGCGGGCGCCGGGCGGGCCCCCCGGCCGCCCCCGCGCCCCCGCCCCCCCGCCCCTTCCTTCCCCCCGCGGAGCCCGCGCATGGGCGTCCCACCCCCGGCTGCTGCGGCGCACCCGCCGCTTCCATGCCTGCCGGGGCCGCGGAGGTGCTGCGCCCCGTGGGCGACTGCGGCCTCTCGCCGGCGCTGGTGCTCGCGCGGCTGCTGCAGAGGCAGCAGCGCGGCGGCCGCGGGCAATCCGCGTGGAGCCTGGGCGCCCTGAGGCTGGCGCGGCAGCGGCTGCCAGGGCTGCGCGGCCGCGCGGCCGGCCCCGCGGCGAAGGCGCACTGGCGTGCCCTCCGCCACGGCCTGCGCCGCGCGGCGCTCCGCGGCGTCGGGCGCGCCGCGGCGCAGGCCGGCGGCGGTGGCGCGGGGCGCAGGCGCCGCGCCGGCGGCGCCGAGGAGCAGGTGCAGGCGGCTGCTGACGAGCGCGTGCGCACCACGAGGCTCCGCCTGTTCGGCGGCGAGCAGTTCCGCTGGCGCAACATGGACGCCACCGAGCGCGACGCGGCCTGCGGGCGCCTGCAGGCGCGGCTGTGTGCCCTGCCCGCAGCGCCAGGAGACGCCACGGCGAAGGAGGTGCGCTCGATCCTGCTGTCCGCGGTCGCTGCGTTGTCGCACTCCCGTGCAATGTTGCTGGGCCAGCGCGTCCCCACGAGGCAACGCGCAGCAAGGAGGCGCGGAGCGAGCTCATGCACTAGAGTCTGCGCCCGTGCTGGCCGAGGCAGCGACGGCGCCGAAAAAAATCGACGTGCGCGTTCATGCAATAGAGAAGGGCCCGTTTCGTCTGGCGCGCAGCACAAGGCAACGGTGCAGCGCGCCCTCCGGCGCGTCGTGCTGCAGGCCCTGCGCCTGAGGCGGGCGCTCTGTGCGGGCGAGGCCCAAATTGAGGCCGAGCTGTGGCATGTTCGCGCTTCGATCTCCGCCGTCGAAGTGCGTTGCGGAGGGCTGGAGCGCCCCCGCGCGGGCGGCCAGTGGGCGCGGCTCAAAGCCGCCGTCACCGCGCAGTCGCCGAGGGTAGCTTCAGAGCGGCCTGGGGAGCGGGCAGGTGCGGAGCGGAGGCGCACCGCGCTGAAAGGTCATCCGTCCACTGTGGGGGACAGGTGCTATCCCAGCGAGAGGATTAGAAGGCACTGGAACGTTTTCCACCAGCCTGGCTCGGAGGAGACGAGGCTGTGTTTTCGGTGCTCCCATGCCATCCTCTCCTCAGGGTTTGTGCAGACCGCGCTCGGGAACTTTGTGTTCGCCCCGCAGAAAGGGCGTTTCGCCTGCAGGCACAAAGAGCGCTTTGCCGCCTTGTACAAGACTTCAGACGGACCCCCCACGCGCATTGAATTGATTGCTAACCTTGACGTGGGTGGCCATGGGATTATGTGGAAGGTTTGTGGTGCTTGCGGAGGGCAGCAAATTATGCGGAGGCAAGGCACGCAGGCCAGAGCTAACGAACATCGTTTGATAGTCGCCCTTTCCTATCTGTCCTTCTCTTCTTGGTCCCTGGTCCCTTGATTCCGCTGCTCTCCCCCTGGTCCTCCTCTCTCTTACTTTTCTCTTCCTGGACTTCCCTGCCATTCCCCCTGATGCCGCTGCTGTGCTCGTGAGTCACGCCCCGCCCCTCTCTCCAGATCTCCTGAACCTGCTTTCCTGGCGAAGCCCTTGGTTACTCCCATGTGTTGACTGTGCATTCCCTGGGGGCCCATTGGGTTCGGGAGCCCAGCTCCCCTCGTTGTGGGTCGGAGTAATGGTAGTTGGCAAGCCTGGTCGTCGTCGTCGTCGTCGTCGTCGTCGTCGTCGTAGTTGTCCTCTGCCAGGGTATGTCGTACGATCCTCAAGACGTGTGGGCAGGGGTCCAGTACCCTGCCCTCGGGCGACGCGTCCAGGTCGCGGCCGCCGCGGGCCGACCAGTTCAACCCATTGCCCCGCAGCCGGTGTTCACGGCAGGCTTGGTCGTCGTAGCACGGTCGCCAAATCCTGCGATACGTATTCCAGATTTCGTAATAAGAGGGAGGGGGTCTCAACCCTCCCAGACGAGAAGTTTTAGACCCCCCCTGGGAGAACCCTCCAAAACATCGTCCCCAGACCCCCCCAGGCCCTCCAAGATAGCTTGGAAAAGACCCCCCCTCCGAAATGAGACCCCCCTCCCTTTATTACGAAATCTGGAGTAGGTGGTCGCAACCTGCAGTGCTGTGTCGCATCAGGGCACGCTCGTGGGGGCCGCAGCCAGGCTGTTCATTGGCGCGAGAGAGACGCGAGGGGTGGGTCCGCACGGTTGCGCCGACCGCATGCGAATGCGCCCGTTCGGAAAATAGTTTGGGTTCCATGCTGGGTGCGAGCCGTGCAGGGGCCGGGCCAGTCGCGTGCGGCCGCACCAGGCCTGCGGCATGGGCAGCCACGCGTGAGAGGCGGGAGGGGGAGGCGAGTCGAGTCGAGAAAGCATACGACGTTCGGCGCGATGGACGAGAATATCGGTCGTTCAGCGAGCAAGGGGGACGAGGAAGGAGGAGGAGGGATGATATGGGTGGATCAGGAGGACGATGAGGAAGAAACTGGTGGGGTCCGCGGAGCTGTCGCGAGAAGCTCAAGAACCAGCTCAGAAGTCAGCGCCTAGGCACAATAGTTTCTTTTGGGGGGGGGGATTCGGAGATGTCTGCCAGCGAAGGCCTCCTGTGGAGTCTCTTGGAGCCTTCTTGAGAGCCTCTGTCGAGAGCCTCTGTCGTTGCTTCGAGGGCTGTCTGGGCTATCTGAGGGGGTCTCGGAGCTCAGTCGTGGACAGGTCTCCGGCCGCCCTGGGGCAGTCGTCGAGTGGTCTTAGACCGTTTTGGCCAGTCTTCGGGGTCCCCTTGGGCGTCTCTTCCACCGGGAGGATGTCGTCCACGGCGATCCCAGGGCCGTCTTCGTCCGAGTTTCTTCTGGTGCCGGAGTTTAGGTCGCGTTTTGCCGAAGACGTACGAGGAAGCTTGATGCTCCAAGGATGTGCGGCGAGCGAGGGGGGGAAGCGAGAACGAGAAGGCCTTCTCAGAAGGCGGTAGGACTTCTCAGAGGCCCTTGCGCCTCCTGAGAAGCTTTCTCTGCGCCTTCGGGGAAGGCTTAGAGAAGACTTCTCAGCAGGCCGAGGGACTCCCGGCCCTTCTTGAGAAGGCCTCCTCCTCCTACCTTCCTCCCCCCCGCTCGCCGCCAGTGTTCGGCATCCCAGAACCTCGAGTCGGCAACACCCCAACATACTTATACTATATGTGCGTCGTGGCGGGCGCTTTCTGGCCACACCGCTCGGGAAACGATATACTACAAGATGGGTATACTATACGTTCGGGTCGGACGCGCGCCTCCAAGGAGGACATATAGTATTGGTATGTCCATGTGCGTCCCATCGAGGGCGGGTCGGAGGCCCCATGAAGCCGCTTCGTCTCGACCGGATGATCGGATGCCTTTGGGGGACCGCCCGGCAGGCCCGGCGAGCGCCCGAGGGGAGCGCCCTTCGGGGGGCACCTTTTTGCGCCCTCGGGCCGCAGCGGGCGCCTCGCCGACGTCCGTCGGCGGCGAGCGAGGGGCGGAAGCGAGAGGGAGAAGGCCTTCTCAGGAGGCGGCGGGACTTCTCGGAGGCCCTCGCGCCTTCTGAGAAGTCGTCTGGTGTCTTCGGAGAGGGCGCAGGAGACTTCTCAGGAGGCCAGGGGAGTGCTCGAGCCTTCCGAGAAGGCCCGCCCCTCCTCTTGTTTCCCCGGTTGGCGTCTCGCCGGGCCTTCCTGGATGTGTCTGGAGCATCTCTGGTGCTGCCTCAAGCCAGATTGCGTTCCCTAGCGGCCCCAGCGGGCACCAATGTCAGGCTGAGGAGGACTCTCGGCCGCGCGGCGTGTGATTCCTGCAGCATGGCGATCATTCGTCCACTCGCACCGAGCAGCAGATCAGTTTCCGATCTAGGCTGCAGTCAGCTTATTTCGCCCACCAAAATACTTCGGACAGGTATCAGGTATGGTCAGATGCGGTGGCAGCGCTTTAATGACTCACCCCAGTCCTGTCAACGCTTTGGGGAAGCCGACAGCACCAGCACCAATCTCCCCGGCCACGCCAGTCCAAGCCAGTGACCCCTGGAGCCATCGAGGCGTCCTGCTGGGCCTGCCGGACCCACAGAATGCACCTGTCAGCCTGACATGCCTTCTGGGCTCGGGTCCCGCGACGGCTCCCGCCCGGACCGCCGCTGGGTGACCGCGGCCGCCGCGGCCAGCGGCTCGCGGGCGGCCGCTCGCTGCTCCACGCTCGCGGCCCGCCGGCGCCACAGGGGATGGCCCTGCCCGCCGCGCCCTCGGAGGGCCCCCTGCCCCGGAGGCGCATACGGGCAGTCGTCACGGACGTGGACGGCACGCTGTTCTCGGCGTGGGGCTCCGAGCAGCCCGTCTCCGCGGGCAACGGGCGTGCGCTCGCGCGCGCGATGAGGGGGCCACACGCGAAGCCTTCCCCTGCCCCCCACGACTTCTGAGGGGCAAGGTGGGGTTCACTTCGTTCGGGAGCTCTCGAGGGAGCTCTCGAGCGAAGTGGACCCCACCCTCCCCCTCAGAAATCGTGGGCGGTAGGGGAAGGGTTCGCATGTGGCCCCCTAGGATGGAGCAGGGCATCAGCGTCTGCCTCTCGAGGGCGAGGCAGCGGCGTGAGCAGAAGCCTTCGGAGGTCCGCGCGGGCTGCCTGGGCCGGCGCGGGGACCCTCTGCCCGCGCCTCCAGCGCCGCCCCATGGGGCGCTCCGCGCGCCGGGGAGCAGAGGGTCCATCGGGGGGCCACATGCGAACCCTTCCCCTGCCCCCCCTACGATTTCTGAGGGGCAGGGTGGGGTTCACCTCGTTCGCGCGCCGGGGAGAAGAGGGTCCATCGGGGGGCCACATACGAACCCTTCCCCTGCCCCCCACGATTTCTGAGGGGCAGGGTGGGGCTCACCTCGTTCGGGAGCTCCCGAGCGAAGTGGACCCCCACCCTCTCCCCCTCAGAAGTCGTGGGGGGCCAGGGGAAGGGTTCGCATGTGGCCTCCCATTCGCGCGCCGGGGAGCAGGGGGTCCAGCGCCGCTCCAAGGGCTCCGCGCCGACCTGCGACAGTCTGTGCTCGTGCCGCTTCTTCTGCCTCCGGCCTCGCCACCGGCCGCATCCCTGGCCCGTGGAGCGATGCCGTCCGCGGCCAGCTGCCTGGCCTCGGGCCCGGCGTCTTTGCGAACGGGGCGCTGGTGCTGGGCGCTGGCGGCGAGGTTTTGGCCGAGTCCTGCCTGCCGCAGGCGGCGGAGGAGGTGGTCAGGCAGTACACGCTGGGCGGCCGCGCAGGGGGCGGGGGCCAGCTGATGCTGCTGGCAGCGACGCGCTGGGAGGCAGCAGGGCCCTCCTACGGCTCGCTGCGGTATGTCGAGCTGGCGCCACAGGGGCCAACCTGGGCCACGGACCTCATCAAGAGCGCCGGTGAGCCGGACGTGGTGCTGCTGCCCGATCTCGGCGGGATCTGCTCGGGCAGAGTTCTGAAGTTCGTTCTCTTCACCAAGCCTGGGGAGCCAGGTTGGGCGTCGATGCCGGAAGTGGTGCGGGTGCTCCGTCTACAGCTGGAGGCAGCAGGGGCCACTGTGGTCGATTGCGGGCCCAGGCACTGTGAGGTGCTACCTCCAGGCGTCCACAAGGGCGTCGGAATGCTGCGGCTTCTGGAGCACCTCGGCGTCGGCGCCGACGAGACCCTGGCCTGCGGGGACGGGCCGAACGACGTGGAGATGCTGCAGATGGCGGGAGTGGGCGCCGCGGTTGGGAACGCGGGCCCAGAGGTGCGAGCGGCGGCGGCGCGTCAATGTTTTTCGATGCGACCCGCCGAGGTCTGGGCCACTCCCCAAGGGCCGGTTTTTCGCCCTGAGTCCGAGTCGTTCTTTGACGGTCCTGGGGCCCAGCAAGGGCCCCCAGAGGCCGAAAACGGGCAAAAGCTGGTCGCCCCCATTTTTTTCGGAGCCTCGGCTCTCCGGGGAGGCGCGGGCGGCGGCGGATGCCGTGGTCGCCAGTGCGGAGGCAGACGGCGTGGCGGACGCCGTCGTGCGCTTCGCTCTGCGGCAGCCCGCGGGAGCCGCCCAAGGCTGAGGCTTGGCGGGGCTGGGCCGCGGGAGCCGGAGCGGGACGTGCGGGCAGCTGCGCGCTGTCCCGCGTGGCCTCCGGGCGGAGCTGCGGCGACGAGGGGGCGGGCAGCCCCAGAGCGCTCGTATCGCGCGAGAGGAGGAGGAGATGGAGATGGAGATGGGAATGGAGATGGGAATGGAGGAGGAGGAGGAGGAGGAGGAGGAGGAGGAGGAGGAGAGAGGGAGGAGGAGGAGGAGGAGGAGGATGAGCAGGAGGAGGAGGACGAGGAGGAGGCGGAGGAGGAGGCAGCGGAGGCGGCGGCGGCGGAGGAGGAGGAGGAGCAGGGATGAGGGACGAGGAGGAGGAGGAGGAGGAGGAGGAGGAGAAGAGGGATGATGATGTGTGCTGACGATGATGATCATGATGCTGCTGAAGCTGCTGATGCTGATGATGCGGATGATGCTGATGATGAGGAGGACGATGCGGATGCTGCTGCTGATGATGATGACGCTGCTGCTGATGATGATGGTACATATGATGATGATACTGATGATGATGAGTCTGATGTTGATGCTGATGTTGATGATAATGATGCTGATGATGCTGATGATGATGATGATGATGATGAGGATGAGGATGATGGTGATGATGATGATAATGATGATGAGATGATGATGACGATGCAGATGATGCCGATTATGATGCTGATGGTGATGATGATGCCGATGCTGATGCTGACAATGGTGATGATGATGATGATGATGATGATGTTGATGATGATGAGGAGGAGGAGGATGATGATGATGATGATGGTAATGCTGCTGATGATGATGCTGCTGCTGATGATGATAATGATGATGCTGCTGATGATGCTGATGATGCTGATGATGATGCTGATGATGATACTGCTTATTTGGATGATGATGACGCTGCTGCTGATGAAGATGATGATGTTGCTGATGCTGGTGCTGATGCTGATGCTGCTCATGAGGATGCTGATGATGATGCTGATGCTGCTGATGATAATGATAATGATGCTGATGAGGCTGATGATGCTGGTGATGATGATGCTGGTGATGATGATGCTGATGATTATGATGATGATGCTGCTGCTGATGATGATGCTGATGATGATGATGCTGCTGCTGATGAGGATGCTGATGATGATGCTGATGATGATGATGGTAATCATGCTGCTGATGATGCTGATGATGATGCTGATGATGCTGATGATGATGATGATGATGATGATGATGATGGTGATGGTGATGATGAATCTGATGATTATGATGATGGTGGTGATGGTGGTGATGGTGGTGATGATGATAGTGGTGGTGGTGGTGGTGATGATGATGATGATGATGATGATGATGACGACGACGACGACGACGACGACGGCGGCGGCGGCGACGACGACGACGACGACGGCGACGACGACGACGGCGACGGCGACGACGAGGAGGAGGAGCAGGAGGAGGAGGAGGAGGAGGAGGAGGAGGAAGAATAACAGTAAGAAGAAAAACACTAATAATGAAAATATGAACAAGTAAATAATGATACTAAAAAGACTAATACTAAGAATAATCATAATAAGAATAATACTGATAATAATAATAATAAGAGTAAGACTAATAATAGTAAGAATAATAATAAGACGAATAAGAATAATGATATTAAGAAGACGAATAATATTAATCACAAGAACAATCATACGAAGCATAATAATAAAAGAAGACGAACAATAATAATAACAACAACACTAGTAATAATACTAATAACAATACGAAGAATAACAATCATGATAATAAGAAGACGAATAAGAATAATAATACTAAGAAGAATAAGAAAAAAAAGAAGAGGAGGAGGAGGAGGAGGAGGCGGAGGAGAGGGGAGGAGGAGGAAGAGGAGGAGGAGGAGGAGGAAGAGGAGGTAGGAGGAGGAGCAGGAAGAGGAGGAGGAGGAGTCGGAGGAGGAGGAGGAGCTGGAGGAGGAGGAGGAAGAGGAGGAGGACGAAGAAAACCAGTGTAAACCCAAGAGACATCAACGATTGTGGAATTATCCCTCCCTCCAAGCCTCCTCTTCATAGGCCCCTACAACGGTTCATTTCCACTGAGGGAACTGCCTCGTTGGAAGACAACCGTTTGAAGACCCCGAAGCATGCCAAGACATCGTTCTCCGGATTTCAACGCCACGGATCAACCTGACAGCTGCGTCTTGACGATCGGGAATCGTGCCATAACTCAATGTTGTTTGACTTCCACACCGCGAATCAACATAAATATGGAATTCTGAATAGTTGTTGCACCCGCATAAGAGCTGAATCCTTCCAACATAATCTTTCTGGTGCGTTGATCACGGGAATCCGCGAAATTCTTCTACATTTTAAGTCGAATGTTCGCGTCGCTAAGGCGAGAGCTATCTTTTGAAAAGGAACTGCCCTCAATCCGTGAAGCTCTTGCCATTTGTTCAACGAATGTGCGCGGCGCTCAGGCGAGAGCCACACTTTGAAAACCGCCCGTCCTCAACCCGTGAAGCCCTGGCAAATGTTCAAAACAAATGTGCGTGGCGCTAATGCGAGAGCCACATTCGAAAACCACCTGCCCTGAATCCGTGAAACAACCGTAATTCTTTCAGACGAGAGTTCGCGGCGCTAATGCGAGAGCCACATCTCGCAAACGACCCGCCCTCAATCCGTGACATTTCTGCAAATTTTGGAACGAATGTGCGCAGCGCTGAGGCGAGAGCCACATTTTGAAAACGACCCAGCTTCAATACGTGAAACGCGTGTTATTTCTTTAAACGAATGTGCACGGCGCTAAGGCGAGAGCCACATTTTGAAAACGGGTGGCCTTCAATCCGTAAAACCCTTGCACATGTTCCAAAACGAGTTTTCACAGCGCTAAGACGAGAGTGCCATTTTGAAAACCACCCGCCCAACCGCCTCAGGCGAAACGCCCGGCCCGCCCCAAAAACTGGCCTCGGGCTGCGACAGGGAGAAGTTATTTATAAGGAAAGGGAATGGAGGAGCAGGAGGAGGAGGAGGAGGAGAGAACCAGGAGGAGGACCAGGAGGTGGATGAGGCGAAGGAGGAGGGCCAGGACGAGGATGATGATGATGATGATGATGATGATGATGATGATGATGATGATGATGATGATGATGATGATGATGATGGTGATGGTGATGGTGATGGTGATGGTGATGATGATGATGATGATGATGATGATGATGATGATGATGATGATGCTGATGCTCAGGATGACTTTGCTGATGATGATGCTGATGATGTCGATGCTGATGATGAGGAGGATGATGATGATAATGCTGATGATGATGATGAGGAGGAGGAGGAGGAGGAGGAGGAGGACGAGGACGAGGACGATGTCGAGGACGAGGACCAGGAGGAGGAGGTGGAGGATCAGGAAGATGACCAAGAGGTGAAGGAGGACGAGGAGTTGGAAGAGGAGGGGGAGGAGGAGGCTGGAGAAAGGAGGTGGAGGAGGACGAGGGTTGATGGACGAGGAAAGATGGACGAAGGACGAGGCACGAGGGACGAGGGACGAGGGAGGAGGGGAGGAGGAGGAGGAGGAGGAGGAGGAGGAGGAGGAGGATGAGGAAAAGGAGGAGGATGAGGAGGAAGAGGAGGATGCGTACGCAGGCTTAGAAGCATAATCGTAACCATAAGCAGACGCGCGAGCAGACTCATAAGCAGAAACAGCAGCAGAAGCAAGCAGACGCTGACGAATACAACAACAACAACTACTACTACTACTAATTCAAACCGTGATAACACGAATACGAACATCAATAACAAATCGAGTACTACTCATGATAATAGCACTGCCGGAATACTACTACGTATGCACATCGTAAGACTAAGGCGAATCATATCAATAGGAATCCGAAACTAGTATTGTAATTGACATACTATCCAGACGACAAGAAATACTACGAATGCTACTATGGATGCGAATCATAGTACTACTAAGAATGATACGAATAGTACTATCAATATTCATAGTCATGACCATACGACGAAGCATGTTAACACTAAGGCGAATAAAAATACATCTGCTTTTAGTAAGACGAACACTACGGCACATACGAAGATACCTCACCTAATAATAATAGGACGAATCATCGAAATACGAATCTTTTTTGCAAGACGAAGGATAATCATAACAACAATAAATCAATACTAAAAAGGACGACAGGAAGAAACACAATAAGACGAAGAGGAGGAGGATGAGGAGGAGGAGGACGAGAGACAAGGGACGAGGGACGAAGGACGAGGGACGAGGAGGACGGGTTGGACGAGGACCGGTGTAAACCCAAGAGTCATCAACGATGCTGGAATAAATCCTCCTTCCAAGCTCCCTCTTCATATGCCCCGTTCATTCCCACGGACGGAACTGCCTCGTTGGAAGACAACCTTTTGAGGACACGGAAGCATGCCAAAACATTGTTCTCGGGATTTCAACGCCACGGATCAACCTGACTGCTGCGTCTTGACGATCCTGAATCGTGCCAGAACGTCATTCTTGGGTGCACCCTCATAAGCCTGAGTCCTTCCAACATACCATTTCTGGTATGCTGATCATGGGAATCCGTGAAACTCTTGCAAGTTTTCAAACGGAGTGTGCGCGGCTCTAAAGCGAGAGCCACATTTTGAAAACGAACCGCCCTCAATCTGTGAAGCTCTCGCAGATATTTTAAACGAATGTGCGCGGCGCTAAGGCGAGCCACATTTTGAAATCGGGTGGCCCTCAATTCGTGAAACTCTCGCAAATTTATAAAATTAGTGTGCGCGGCGCTAAGGCGAGAGCCACATTTTGAAATCGGGTGGCCATCAATCCGTGAATCTCTCGCAAATGTTTAAGACCAATGTGCGCGGCGCTGCGGCGACAGCCACATTTTTGAAAACGGGTGGCCTTCAATCCATGGAGCGCTTGCTCATTTTTGAAACGAGTGCGCGCGGCGCTAAGGCGAGAGTCACATTTTGACATCCACCCGCCCTCCATCTGTGAAGTGGTTGCCAATTTGTAAGCTTCAGGGCCATGGGTGGCGAGGAAGCGTCGGGCGAAACGCCCGCCCCTCCCTGAAGCCCTGCCTCGGGGTGCGACTGGGAGAGGCTCCTGATGAGGAGGAGCGATGGAGGAAGGGG